TTGGTAAGATCAATTAAATAATTTTCCAAGTGACGGTCACCAATTCCTGAATTAAAAATAAACTTAATTTATATTTACATAACTAAAATACATTGAATCGATGGTTTTATAACTTACCAATTAAATAACCACAGATATTTATTGCAGCTAGATTTTTAACAAATTCATTACGAATCGCTAAATGTACTTCAGGTGACGCAGCAAGCTTATACAATGCAGTTTTTAAAAGGTTTCTATTTATCATGCTATGCAAAGTTGCCAAGTGTTTAATAATATCATCCCTTGGAGCTTTTTTCATAACATTAGGATATCCTAATAAAAATAAAGTACATATTAATTCCATAACTTCATAAATAGTTTTTTAGATATCTATATATTACCATTATATTTATTCACCCAATTCACATGTTCATTTTGAGTATTTTCAATGTCTGAAGCATCGGAAAGTTCTTTCTCAATGAATGATCGTAAAGGTTTAGTATCATTTATCCATTCAATTATGCCTAAGCTGCCAGTAATTGGGACGACCTATATGCAAAAGTTATAATTATCATTAATACTCTAATACGATTACAAATATGTTAAATTATAAGAATTAAACATAGCTGACCTTATACGTAATCAACTCAATTTTACGCTGAGAGCAAAAGTAATCCTTGCGCATTAGCTCATTCATAACTGTGAATAATTGCTGAACTCTTTGATCTAATCGTAAATCTTCTCCTCCCTGTCAATATATCTAGTAAACATCTGCATAAAACTGAAAGAGAAACATTCGCACAAAACTTACTTTCACTAAAAAGGGGTATTCTTTGCCATCTGTTCCAATTATAACAATTTTTTTAGGTTTCCTTAAGGACTTTAAGACCAAAACTTTGGGATCAAAATAAGCAATCTTTATATGTCGACTAGGATCTGGAATGCTTAATCCATCGTATTGGCCTGGTATTTCAATTTCCTACATTGCATTATATAGTATATATAGTAAATAAAATTAAATCTATAAAATCCAAAAGATAACTACTAAGCAAGTAAATATATATAATACTTCGTCGCAATTTGAAGAAGAAAAGTCTGCAAGCCATTTAGAATACGATTTGAGTAGATTTGCAACAGATGGTGGTTTCTTCTCACCACCACGCTTTATATTTTTCATATAATAGTCCCAAACTTTTTCTCGAAATTCTGACAGAGGAAACCTCGCTAATTTAGATCCATCTCTTCCTAAAGTAATGAAAA